AGAGTGAAGAGGTGTTTTCTTGCCTTGATTCTCCCCTCCAGTTGTCATTCCTCTAATACAGAACCACTTGCAGTAACAGTTGTAGGAGTTTAAATGCAGTTAAATTACTGCCAGATTGCTGTATTTTGACCATTTTTTCAAGACCTGAACAGATTTGAATAGTAGTAAGAAAGACTGTCTCCATTAGCACCTATCATTATGGGATTGCACTTCAGTTTCTCCCTAAGTTTTTCAACATGTATCTTTTAAAATCCCAAGCGATATGTCAGCGATAAGACCTTGGTTGCAGAGATAAGCTTGAAAACAAGAGCAACATGGTTAAAGTCCAAGAGTAAATGGCAAACAGAAGCGTTTTAAACAACTCCTTTTCAAAATAGACTCTATTGCCTTAATCCTGTGAGAAGATCCTACATGCTCTCACCAATGGAAGCTGCACCTACTTTTCAAAGCCCTGTTTCTCACTTTTGTATCTAGAGTGCATGGCCATTTCTCCAAACTCCGTATGACAAAACAGAGCAAAGAATACAGACCTGAAACTTCACAGCACTGTATCCCAGCTACAATCCTATGTAACAACAGAGAGTCTCCAGGGTTTCTATGCTCAGCAACAAAGGTTTGGGGATTTTTTTGTTTGTTTGCTTTAAAGACTTTTCCTCTTGAATGACCTCTTAAATTCTGCAGACTCTGCTTCTAGCCAGAGACAGAGCTTCCCATTAGATTTTTCAAGAATGCTTCACAACCATATGGAGCTTTGAGCAAGATGTAGTGTGTGGAATATCCACTAACATAGTGGTACACATTCTATTAATTGCTCACACCATACCATTTCTGCTGACATCAGGAACACCGAAGTAGGATACTTCTTCAGTAAGGAATCGATTCATACTGGAACCATAAAATCATTTTTTCAAGCTGTTAAAGACAGAAATTCTTCCTGCCCTGGTCATTTAAAAAGATTCAAAGAAACTTGGGGTTTCATATAATTTCAAGAATGCTTTCTCCATTCAGACTCAGTTACAATACATAATTTACATAAAATTGATTTTGTGAGGAAATGTGAGCAATGTGAGTACTTGAACAAACTATTGTAGAAACTCAAATGTAGCTCCTCATCACCTGTGAACAATTTACCCAGTCTATGAATCACAGCATCAGGGGTGAAGGTACTTTAAATCAGTTCAAATGCAGTGTGGCTTATGTGTTGCCCAGCACAGCAAAGCGCATCTGTCCCACACCTAGGGCCGGCAAGGATGCAAAAGCAGGTTGGCTGCTTCCACTTACTCTGGAGATGTCTATTACAGGCTGCAGCTTTGTACAGTGACCTGTGGCCAGATCCACATGGCGTCATCCCAGCTCCAAGCAAATGAGCAATAAGGAGACCCTAAGTGTGGCCACAGCTTGTTTCCCCATTGCTCCAGGTACACAGTGTGCCCATTACCTCACATACAATACTACACAAAACTCCCAGGTGAAACATAGAATAAATTTATACTGCATTTGCACCAAAATACCTGTGAAATCCAAAAAGAAATTACTAACAGGTAAACAGGCTAAACTGGGCCTGACTTTCGCAGTGGTGAGTAAAGAAACAAGACCCAGAGCTTTTTTTTTTAGTTTCTATTTCACTGGTGCACAGTTAAAAGAAGTCTTGAATTGCTGGGCTCATATTCTGCTGATATAGGCTGGCACTAACCATTTATAGCAGAAGAAACTGAACTCAGTATATACCAGCAAAGTTGCCAGTATTCACATCTCTCAATCTTCAAAATTTTGTAACTGTGCAATTGCATGACAAAATGAGAGATTAATGACAAAAAATAGAACACATGGGCTTTTGTGTGCGTCATGACTGCAGTGACAGCTGACTACAAAACCTAATTTAAAACCCAAGGTTTGTTTGGTTTGTGGTTGTTTTCTTTCCCTTAAAAACAAGGGAAAAGAAAACACAAGCAACCCTAAAGCAGCACCTGATGGAAGACATTCAGTTGAAACGCTGTCCTTTATCTTAACCTGTCTCTAATAGGAACCCAAATATACACTTCCATAGTAAGTTAGGCACTAGGAGCAATAGAAAACTAACAACTAGGATTCTTGGGCTGCATTTGTGAACCATGAACTGTTTACAGTGTTTACAATGGCGATTAAAAACATGCTCTCTAAGCCAGTAGATTTAGTCCGCTCATCCAAGAAGGCAGAGCATCCCAGTGCACTGAGAGACAGATTCTATTTCCAGCTCTACCTGAAATTACTTTGTTCAACTTCTCAGCTGAATTACATGAAAAGGAAAGACAAAGAATGAAAAATGACTACTTTTTAAAGTAACAGCATGCGATTTTACTGAAGATCAAGAGCAAGCATTTCATAAAACTGTAAATAGTAGAGACGATGCTAAAATTCCCAGCTTGCAGCTCAGAGAGCAAGCATAGTTGTAATTCAGAGCTGTGCTAATGCACCACAGTGGATGCTACCAAAAGAAGAACGGAGACCTCATAAACCAATATATTTTTGCATCTCTAAACAGAACAAGAGCCATGAGTGACACTAGTTCTGTCTCTACACACAAAATGAAAGCTGAGATTGACTTGTGCAATCTAAAAAACTCCCAGATTTGTAGTTAACATGGGAAAATACAAAACAAAAAAGAAATGCCATGCTACTTAGAAGTTGGTACAAGATTTACAATTTACCCACAGACAAAGGAACAAAACCTGATAGAGGTTTCTCTGTAGAGGTAATCACTGCATGGTAAACTATAAATAAAGCAAACAAACGCAGAAACCTTGGAGAGAAGGTGAAAGCTGAACAAAAGACAGGTGTAGGGTCAAACAGAGAAGCAGATTGCTCACAGGCAATCCCACACTTTGTCACACTGTTTGTAATAAAAGTTAAATTTACCATAAAAGCACTGTCAGAAACATAACACAACGTGAAGTGTCGCAGCTGAAACAAAAGGCTCCAGTGAAATAAAATCTAAACTGCAGCCAGTTTAAATATATCATTATTATCGAGTAATATAGCTTAAAGCAAACAAAGGCAAAAGAAGACTCGTTCAAATTGAAAGCTTAACATGACATTACCAAAATCAATAAAATTGCACACTTGGGATGTAATGCCCTGAGTTGTTGAGCACAGAGTCCAGTGACCTCAATCACAAGATTAAGCTGTTACACAGATTGAAAATTCGATCGTGAGGAACATATGAAAGACTGCTTGGGAGAAAATAGTCAGATCTCTGGACTGGAAAGCATGGGAATATTTAAAATTTAATTTAAAAACCAGACTATTATTACATTTAAGCTGTTTAAAATAAATGGGACTATCTAATATTTTAAACATGAGCAAGTCGCCAAAGCACCACTGTGCAACACTGAGGCCACAGTTTGTATTTGACAAGGTTTGACATTTGTTCACAGTACACTCTGCACAACTACAAGAAAATGCGAGATCTGTGATTCATGTTGTAAAGAAAGTATTGCCATTAAAGGCTGGACTGAACAGTTTTTGAACCAAACAACAGAAAATGGCATCATATGTTAAGTAGAAAAACCTTTTGGGTTCAATTCAGTGGTTACAATCAAAAAACCAGATGGTAATCTGAGAATATACATGGTTTCAAAGGAACTAAATGAAAATATCAAAAGAGAACATTTTCATTTGCCAACTTGAACAACACAGTGAAGCTGCTCTCTAATGGTGCAGCCAGCTTCTGGCAAATACCTCCTGAAGAGACAAGTTCCAAATAAATTGTTTTGATTACATAGATTTTTCAGACTTCCTTTTAGCATATGTTCTATACAGAAGTGATCGATAAAATATTACTACATCAAATGTTCAAAGGAATTCCACGTGCATGAAGTGCTAGCTTACTGATATAGGAGCCACTGCAAAGACATATGAAAAAAGAATGTCACATATTAAAAATAGCCATAAAAAAACCTAAAATATGTTTAATTTAAAAATGCATTTTTAAAGTTCAGCAGAGGAATTGAGCTCTTTTCAAAGGAAAAGTAAAATCAATCTTACAAAATTTAAGAACAATTTGAGAAACTACAGGAATAAACATGCTGTTTTGCTGCGTTATGACAATGTTGGAAATTCATCTCAGAAGTCTCTATTATAATAAAGATATTGTCTGTGAATTCAGCATCATAGGTAAGAACAAGCTCTCAATCAACAAAGAAAATCGGGTGCCTGTCCAAAGAAATTTACAGTCTTGTAGATCAAGTCATTTTTTAATAGGACAGTTGGAATGAAAAAGAATCTAATAAAGAATGGACAAGCTTGAAGACAGGATGATCTAAAAATTCTCACCACATTACTGGTGCCAAAATATTTTTATGCAGAACTATCAGAGTTCCCAGGGATGAAACACAAAATGTTCTGAAAGCCATGCAAACAGTATAAAAGATGTTTTTCATCTGCAGATTTTACCACAAGCCCATTAAGGTCTTAAAACACAGACTTAAATAAAAGAAATTTTCAAGAGCTAAGTGCTGAGAGTTTAATGCCTTAGTGAATAAGTGCTTATAGATTAAAAGCCTTGACTAAAACCAATAGGAATGCTTTGTTCTCAATTTAGCAACAAAGATACATTCTGCATTTACAGAAATGTAATTTGATATTGGAATATAGCCCAGATAGCACAACATTACCAACATATACAAAACACACATTTCTCCCTAACAGAGTGTTAAGGCAAGTAAAAAGAAAGTACATGTGCACAATTAGTTTATTTGTTCTCAAAAGATATGATGTACTATAGTAATGCGGTAAAATTATCAACAGATTGCATTAAAAAACAAAACCCATACTAATAAACTATGAATCTGAAGTTCAAGAATCAAAGTTAATTTAGGAGTACCACTTAAGACCACAGGGTATAACCTGTTTCAGCAAATTCTCCTACATGTGGTACACACAGTAGCGTTGAAAAGCAAACCAAAAGTGACCATCAGCATCACTGGACTAGCCCAGCATGAGAATGGCTAGCAGGCAAAATAAGAAGAGAGATGAAAAAAATTGAAAGCAACAGGTGAGACCATCCATTTCTTTAAATTCTAAAGTGTCAGGGCTGTCAGATACAACTGGAATACATACCAACTCCAGGGTGAAAACAATGTTTGCATTGTATAGAATAAAGCAAGCAGGATTGTAACTACTGACAGTGAAGAGCAACTAGGTAGGACAGACAAGAAAGGATTTCCTGAGAGATACGAGTTCTGTCTAATCTTCAGGTCCAGCAGTTGTTTATATGGAAAAAGAGCAGCCTGCCATATTATTTGGAATTACCAGATTTCTAACACACCTAGAACACATATCTTGGTGGTATGCTTGTCATCACTACTATTAGTCTTTCCTCCTCCCAGAGCTGCCTAACATGTGCCATGTTCTTTGTAACATTTTGTAAGCACTGGAAAGCAAGAACTACATATGTAGTATTAGAGTAACAATTTACAAAGGAACTTCATTGAGGAAGAGGAAAACAGCCATACTACAACACAAATAATAACAGAGAAAAGCAAAAGGAATAGCAACTTAATTGCGGGGGGGGGTGGTGGTGGTGGAATTTCTTCAAAGAAACTTGACACAGAACATTGGTAATTTAAAGAATGATTCACGTGCCAGAAGAACCTGCTGCAAAGTAGTTTAAAAGAAAAAGTAATTACCTCATTGCTTATTGATTCTGCAGATGGAAAAAAAAAATCCTCTCTCAAAGTCAAAGCAAGACTCATGCAAACCTTATCATTTGTCAGATCACTTTATCAGAAAGGGATGTCTGCTGGTACAAACAAATAAAACAACAAAAAAAATACACCCAGATCTGCCACAACAACAGGTACTTTTAAGGTAAAAATGGTACATGCCAATTCATGCAAGTCATCCT